CGGCCGGGAGCGGGCGCGGGGCAGCCACCGGGGCCGCAGGACCTTCTGAGGACGCAGCGGGCAGGGCCCGCACGCCGGCGCGGGGCGACCCCTCTGCTAGGAGGCCGTCTTGGGCTTCAGTCCGCAGGAAACGGCGCCTGCGTGCATGGGACTGGGAGCCGCCTTCCCCCGAGACCAAAGCCAGACCACGGCCAAGAGGACGGCTGTGCTGGCCTGGTAGTGGTAATGGGACTTGAACACGTTTTCCTCTGCTGAATTAATACTGTTGGAGCAGGGCCTCGCCCATCGTCCGCCCTGAACACTGACCTGGGACGCAGGCAGGGGAGGTCCACACAAAAATCGAAATCCTAATAAAGACGGGATGGGTGGTACTGACGTTTTCTGTTTGCCTCAGCCTTCACTATTGCCGAACCCGGTTTTATTTAAAATTTTGATATTTTGTTCATGAACTTTGGCATTGGTTTTATTTTCTAAAATATTACGTTAAAATATCACTTAATTACTGAGGGTTTCTTTTTTATGCCTCCCTAAATTTTATGCCCAAAGGAAGTGAACCTCCCTCATCTCAGCTCTGCTGGTTAGTATTTATTTTAGTGAGATACTGTGTTTCTGTCATGGTCGTAACTGAACTGGTTTGCCTTGTCATTTTTGGGTAATTAAAAAGGTTATTGAACTTATCGTTGATTTTGGTGTATATCTCATTAAGATTCATGAGAATCACATAACTAAGCTTCCAGGACTCCTTTTTAGTATTATTTTCCACATTTCACTAAAGGAGCAGAGGCTTTATAAAGGCCTCTTAAGATGTCAGAAATCTGAAATCTAAAAGAAAACAGGGTGCAGGATAATAACATCACAAGCTAAAAGCCAGAGAAATTTAAAATTACCAACATCCTCGTTAGAACAAGACAGTAAATACCAGCCTTGCAGCAGACAGCTCAAAGCAGCTGGGGGTAGAGGAGATGGCTTGCTATTTAGGACAGCAAGGGTGGAATCCAACGTGGGAAATTCTTCATATTTTACACCTCAAAAAATCAGGCAGCAACAAACATACATCAGTTGAATAAATGTTACTTTCAATGTTGGGAGATTCCATTCAGTGTTCACTAGCACTGAATATCAAGTGTCCTTCACCCTGCCTAGGCTTTTTGATGCTCTGTAGAAATCCAGATGACACACTGGTGATTCCAGAAGGCTGAGGTCTCTTTTGATAGGAACTCATCATCAAAGTACGTGTGTGGAGCACAGTATTTGGGCCCTGCTGGGGAAAACTTTCTGTGCAGCATTAAAGTCAAGGGTATAGGAGAGGACCTTGTTTGTAATGGAAACTCTTATGACCGAAACATTGATTCAGCAACTTAATTTCTATAAGCTTTTGGTTTTTGTTTTTGTTTTGCACTACTAGAGGTTGAACCCAAGGCCTTTCACTGAGCTACGTTCCCAGAACTTTTTTTCTTAGGGTCAAATTCTTAAATTGCCCAGGCTGACATCCAACTTGCAACCCTCCTGCCTCGGCCTCTCCAGAGTAGCTGAGATTACAGGTGTGTACCACCTCATCCAGCTAGCGTTCTTGTTTGCCATTGGCATTTACAAGTAAAGGTTAGGAGCGATGAGATCAGATAGCCAGACTTAGCCTCCTCCGCTGGGATCCTGCCTCCCAATGCTTGATTATATCAACCACAGTCTGTTTTCAATTATTTTCCCCTTTGTCCTTTGTTCATGTTTAAAATGAAACAAAAAAGCCAACTGATACAAAGTATGCTTTCTTAATATGCTGTTTCCAAATCAATAATAAAAGAGTTTATTGTATTACAATTTGTATTACAAATTGTATTACAATTGTTACATAAGTAACTGAACAGACTTGACTCAGTTATTTAGAAAAGAACACAAAGTATGGCTTTAATTACTTAACAAAATGCATTCTGGGGAATTACTGACCACTCTATTTTAAAAGGTGCTGTGCAAATGATGGCTTGTTTCATGCTGTTTTTGTGCATCTTGTTTTCTTGGACCAAGGGTTAGAGAAACGTGGCCTGTAGTAAAGTGACTCCATGATCTCAGCCCTATAAATAAGTATAGTAGGTAATCACAAAAAAAATCTTTCCAACATCCACAAAACTGACCACTCTGTAATATCTCATAGAAAAATACTTGTCAGCATCAATGCTCCCAGTCAAAATCAAAACAAGAACATCTGCAGTCTGCTTCTTGATTGTGAAGAAATAATAAGAGTTGGATGTTCTTTCTTTTTTCCCTAATGATGCTCATTCTCCAAAAGTGGCTGCCAGGTTGAAAGATGAATGTATGTCAGGAGCAGAGCAGGAATTAACAAGAATTTTTTTTCCCATCAAAATAATCAGTTTCCTAAAAACGTAAGAAGCAGGGGCAGGGGATATACCGCAGGGGAAAGAAGAGCAGGTGCTTAGGGTGTGCAAGACCCTGGGTTCAACCCTGACACCAAAAAAGAAAATAAGTTCCCGATAATCAGGAACTTTATTAGTTGCAAGAGGCTGAGATTAAGAGAAAAGAAAGGGGGTAGGGATATAGCTCAGAGGGACAAATGCCTGCCTGGCAAGCACAAGGTCCTGAGTTCAATTCCTACCACCTAAGAGAGAGAGAGAGAAGAAAAATTTAGGAGGAAAAAAGTGATAATAGAAATAAATCAAGAGCATCTCTGTCTTGGCCTGGGCCCCTCGGATCCATGATACCACTGACCTAGCCTGAGTCAGTGGCTCATCCCAAACATGCGGGGCTGGAGTTTTTAAGTCAAGAATTGCTTTAGAAATAAATACAGGGGAGCAGGCACTGTGGTGCCACCTATAACCCCAGCTATGTGGAAGTCGGGAGCAGGAGTCCAGCTTCAAGGCCAGGCTCAGCCACTTAGAGAGACTTTGTCTCAAAATCAAACACGATGAAGTCTGAATGTGTAGCTAAGTGTGAGGCCCTGGGTTCAGTTTCTAGTACTGAGAGGAGAAAAGAGAAAAACACGGGTAAGGGGATGATCTCGCTCAGTGGAACAGCACTTGCCTAGCATGTGTGAAGTCCTGGGTTCCATTCCCAGCCGGGGGTGGGGGGATGGGGGACACCTGTGGTGGGCACACCTATGATCTCAGCTCTCACCACTCAGGGGAGCTGAGGCAGGAAGATCACAAGTTGAAGCCCAGCCTGAGCAGCTGCAACTTAGCAAGACCCTGGTCTCAAAATAAAAAGCAGAAAGGGCTGGGGGATATAGCGCAGTGTGAAGGCGCTGGGTTCAATCCGCAGGGCAGAGAAACAAAAGCCTGGTGTGGTGGCGCACACCTCTAATCCCAGCACTCTGGAGGCTGAGGCAGGAGGATCGTTGCCAGTTCGAGGCCAGCCTAAACTACTGACCTCTACCAGGAAAAGCCCTTGCCCAGCAAGGAGCTGAATCTCAACTTCCACCCCCCAGGCTGAAGGACAGGAAAAGGCTTGCTGCTGTGCAGGCTAGGACTTCCCTCAGGGTGCAAACCTCCACTCCCTGGAGAGGCGGGCAGGACAGCCAGCCCCATGCACAGTGAGGGACGGTGAACCGGATCTGAGAAACGCAGACCTTCGTGGAGGCCGGCATGTGACCGCACTCCCATGAGCCTTTTCTGCACCGACGTCACCCCTCAGCGAAGCGATCAAACGTTACACTGCCCCGCACCCATAGCCTCACTCTTTCCGTTATCATCTAAGTCACCCTTGGCAGCTGAGATGGTACTACCTCCAGAGAAACTGTCCTGAGTGTTCACACAGAACCTTTTGGTCACTCAGTCATATTTATTCCCCTTGGTTGAAATTGTCTCTACATTTGCTTGTCTGAATTTGCCTTCCACTGTAGGCGATGGCTACATGAAGGCAGGCATTATGCTTACCTGGGTCGGCAGGGTATTTCTAAAACATAGTGAGTACTCAGTCTGTTTGCTGTGTGAATGGATTACTGATTACTCACCATGCCAACAGACCGCCAAGTCCTTAACATTCTTGTTCTAATTCCATACTCATTAAGTCACCTTAATAGGAGTCTTCAGTCCCCTAAGAATTATATTTAATGCTAAAACAATTGTTGTTCTGGTTTTATACATTGGTCTCGCGTGAGCTTCCCCAGTGTGAGTTGGCGCCTGAGCACAACTCTCCGCCCTGATGACGTTTTGGGGCATATTATTAAAAGCAGATTGTGGGTGGCTAAGGCCCCCTCAGGAAAGGACAGCCTGTTTTTCCCAAGAAGCTGCCCCTGTGTCACAGCCAACCGTGCTCATTTTCCATTTTGAATGTGTACATTCATCACAGCATTATAAAGGCAGGCTCTCAAGAAACACTTGTCATGGGAATAAAAAAGAATAAGAATTTTTATGCATGTTCAAGAAATTCAAACACAAACATCATCCTTGGGGACATTTACAGAATCTGGCTCTATGGCTTTCTCTGTTCATAATGAAACTCAATTGTTACTAATCCTGGTGCTCCGTGTCCTGCTGTGACTGCTTCTAAACCTACGCAGCCCAACCTGGCGTTCGGCCTTCGTCCTGCCCAGCCTCGGGCCCCTCATTAGCTGAGGGTGACGTCTGTCTGGCGGAGGCAGGGACAATTCAAGACTTGTCAGCTGGCTGTGGCTGATTATCAAGATGTCCAAACTGGCTCCTTTGCTATGTGTAAGCAATTTAATTTTGTGCCTAATTTTAATCTGCAGCATACTGTATGTCTGCATCTGTGGTGTTAAAGCGTTCATTAGCATTTAAAGGGGGAGCTGATGGTATTGATCACTCATATTAAAACCCAAAACAATCATGCAGCCCAAATGGAAGAGCATTATCTTCCACCACTGAGGCACCGCCAAAGTTGATGTACTCAGAACACAGACAGAAACCAAAAATGTGACATTTAGCAGGGGTGTAAGTGACATCTGTTAGAGGGTGATGGTTTGCTTCCACTCACCATCCAGTCCCTGATTATGAGCTTTTTATTTTTCTGTGGTACTGGGGCTTGAGCCCTGGGCTTTCGCACTGAGTTACATCCCTAGTCCTTTTTGTTTTCTATTTTAAAACAGGGTCTCCCTAAATTGCCCAGGCTGGCATATAACTTCTGATCTTCCTGCCTCAAGCTCTCAGAGCACCAGGATTCCAGGTTTGTGCCAGGAAGCCAGACCCTGAGGATCATTTGTAGGCTTGAGGCAGGTGATTAGGGTGTAAACATCTGGCTGAGCAAGTGGGCATGACCTGTCAATCATAGAGATACAGGACATGCACAGAGTAGCACAGCACCTATGACCAATCAGAAAGTACTCTCTTCAATTCTTGGGAGACGGGGTAGATTAAAACAAGTTTTTGACAGGATGACTTGGATCTGATGTCAGCCTGAGGGGTGGGAAATACAGAAGAGGACCTGCCTGAGCTCTTGACCACTAGGTTCTTGCTCTTCCCCACAGCCTGAACTCATCCTGAAGCATGTATGTCTTTTCCTAGTTTTAACTGCCCCACACTTGTTCTGCAGAGCATTTTTTTTTTTTTCTGCCTTTAGGATTCATCCCAGGGATTCAGGAATGGTTCAACATATGCAAATCAATAAATATAATACACCATATTAACAAAGCCAAGGACAAAAACCATATGATCATCTCAATAGATGCAGAGAAAGCATTTGACAAAGTCCAGCACCTATTCATGATAAAAAC